AAATTACCTGGGTTAAACTTGGATACTGAGATGGAAAACCAGTACTGTTTCATAAATACAAGTGGATTGTGATTACAATGGTATTTCAATTCTCCAGAGAGTGTTGTTTTATTTATTATTTTTAAATGAGACTCGTAATTAATTTTGAAAGTATGGAAAGTCAGTTTTAACGAGTGGGAAGTACTGAAAGCCCAGCAAGTGTTGCATAAATACGCAGAGTAAAACTGACAGCGATGACATTTAAAATAAAAATGCACAGAGTATAAGCACACCACATTCTAGCTTGAGATGAGTCATGGATTTTGCTCAAGTTGAGCAGGTCTGGAGAAGTGCACTGATACCACCTGAAAGCAATGTCTTATCCACTGTACTGGGGCCCACACATATGGAATCAATTTATAAGCCCTCTTCAGTTTCCAATATACTGTAAATGCCGAGACTTTGGGCTTCACTGAGAAGAGATGTTGAAAGCTGAAGGTGTTCACACAAGCTTACCGTTCAATTACATTTCTATTACAGTGGGTAGATGCTGCCAAAGCCTACCTGTCTGCTCACTAAACTGAACTGGACTGCATATCTGAGGTAGGTTATGTACAGTAAGCAGTTATGTTTTGGAAAGCAATAAAGAAAAGTAGACCTACTGTATGAGAACACTTTATTGTCATAAATACTAGTACAGTAATTTTATTTTCTAGCTATCTGATTGCAGACTACCGGTTTCAGGTACTACACTCGATTGAGAAGTGGCTCATTGATAGTCTCTTGCTCTTGATAAGAAGCAGGGCCTACTTAATACTGGACTTTGAGTTGTCTATAGTGGAATATTCCATGGTCATTTAAAGGGAACATTCCAGATTTTTGTTTCATCATCCACTAGAATTCATTTTCTAGTTGTCGATGCTTTGCAGCTTCGTTATTTCAGCTACAAATAATAAGGACTTTAAATCATTACAATACAAGAACAATACCATTACAATTCAGTCCCAAAAAGGTATGTAACAATATGACCTCCTTATAAAAGAGACCTTCTTGTCAGACACCTGCCACTAAAAAGGAAGGATATTATTTAGATATTTTACTTCATTCTATTTTGGCTTACTGTGCCTAATTGTTGTAAATTAAGATGATATGCAGAAAATAAGCAAGAAAAGATGTATAAATAAACAGCATAATGTGAACAAATAGTACTGTGCAGATTTAAAGTTGTATTTAAATGAATTCAGTCTTTTTCATTTTCTAAAAATAGGTAGGGAAGTGTTGGGCATGGCTCTTAAGAACTTAATTCCAGTAAAGACCATTTGCAAGTTGTTGCTTAAGGAAATACTGTATGATAAATTCCTAATACTCAGGAAACTGTCTTTATTTTATGTATGCAGTATAGGTTTCCAGTTACAATTGTTTATTATTTTTATGAGACCTATGTCAGATAACAAATGCAAGAGATTCCTAGTTAAATTTAATTTTTTTAAAAAGGTATATAATTTGTCACTTGGCTGAGCTCAAAATATCCACAGGTTCTGTAGGTGGAGTCTGTCTCTGTGCAAGAAGTATAATTTTTCTCTTGGTTTATATATTCTGTTGCAGGTTTAAATATCTTTAAAGCCCCGACTTTAATCTACAGTAGATAGCATACAGTATGCATTCTGAATCAAAGCCTCCTTTTCACTCATGATCCTTATGTGTCATGATCATTCCAGGACAACAGTATGGTGGAGTAATATTTGACTATACTGGAAATGTATTGTGGAAAAGTATCAGCATGATATTAAACATGTTCAAGGTTTCATGGATTGCTTTACTCCAAGCAGTTTTGTTTATTACTTTTTATTTGTTGTTTTAAGACACTCTGATACTAAGTTATTATCCAAAGAGCTGTTTCCACAGACACACATTTTCCATTAATTTCCTCTTAGACACTTTTCTGAACATTATGCAGATGTAGAAAACTCATGTTCAAGTCAATGTCCGTGTGTACTAGGGTAGATGAAGATGTACGCTCTTTTTCCAGAGTGGATCTTGTTGAGTCACTTGCAAAAAGTGGTGCAGTTTATATACATAATTAAATGAAAGACTGTTTTGTGGTTCTAAATGTTGAACCCAAACGGCCTGCTATTTTTTTTAATTCTTGTGAGCCACACAAAACCATCATTGTTAATGCTGCTTTTTAGACTTTGGAGGGTAGGGGGTAGGTGTACGTTTTGACCCAGGGTTTTGCATTGCATGATGGCTCTCTGGCGGCTGCTAGTAATGTCTTTCCACATGTGTGACTTCTTGCCAATTTTATTTACTTAAAAAATCTGTAAGAGAGGCCTGGGAAGGGGGTGCCATGACTTTCTTAAGGTTGAAAAAAATAAAAACAGATTACACCAAACTGCTCATAAGCAGTAACACAAGTGGATACCCGATGGTTTTTTAGCCTATATGTGGAATAGGCCACAGACCCCAAAAATGCCACAAGCATGCACTGGTTTTGAATGTTATGCATTATAACTTGGATTCGCTCTTGATATTCTGCCACTTGATATTCTGAGTCTGTACATGAGAACGGGAATAACTGCATTTCTTTATTTTGACTTCCCTTTTCATATGTTGTTGCTGGTGTAACAGTGTCTTCAATGGTTAAACAATCAGAGAGCAGACACAAATCTTCCAGTCCTTTTACAGGCGAGTGAGTGTGGTTGAATGTGGCCTTTTACAAGCCAGGAGTTCAGAGACCTCTATTCCTGCAGGGGTTTGAGGGCTGTGAAGGGGATGGAAATGAACAGAGACAAGGGTTCCAGCAATGTGTAAAAATACTGGGATATTCTCATTAATACTTATCCATTTTCTTAATTGGAATTGGAGCTTTGCTAATTGAGCAGAATCTTCACAATCCACCCTTCCATATTTAATAGATCTTGGCAGCCATATCACCCTGCAACTCACAACTGGCAGCCCACTGGAGCTCAGCAGGTGTGAGCCTGCTCAGTACCTGGATGGGAGACCTCCTGGTTAAAACTAAGGTTGCTGCTGGAAGAGGTGTTAGTGGGGCCAGCAGGGGGCGCTCACCCTGCGGTCCGTGTGGGTCTTAATGCCCCAGTATAGTGACGGGGACACTATACTGTAAACAGGTGCCGTCCTTCAGATGAGATGTAAAACCGAGGTCCTGACTCTCTGTGGTCATTAAAAATCCCAGCGTTTCTTGAAAAGAGTAGGGGTGTAACCTCGGTGTCCTGGCCAAATTTCCCATTGGCCCTTACCAATCATGGCCTCCTTATAATTCCCCTCTATGAATTGGCTTCATTACTTTGCTCTCCTCCCTGGTAGCTGATGTCTGGTGAGCGTTCTGGTGCACTATGGCTGCCGTCGCATCATCCAGGTGGGGCTGCACATTGGTGGTGGTGGAGGGGAGTCCCCATTACCTGTAAAGCGCTTTGAGTGGAGTGTCCAGAAAAGCGCTATATAAGTGTAAGCAATTATTAATTATTATTATTAATTACGTGATTTCATTGATTGGCATTGATGACTTTACATCACGATTTCATATACAGAAAATCTCTTTTTGAAAACATCATTTGTTCGTGTTGAGCTTAGCCTGTTCTGCACCATCTCCGTTGAGCTATGGGACAAAAACATTTTGGAGATCACCCGTTTCCCCTGTGCCGTTTGTTGCAAAGGAGATCGACAACTTTCATTTTAGTTCAGGACAAACTACAGAAATTTGTACTTTTTGTTAAAATGCCTTTTTTTTAAAAAAACAACAGGAAATATGATTATTGCCTCCCAGAATGTTGAAAAAAAAATCTACAGTTGAGGTTTATCTCGGAAATCAATCAGATTGAGTTGAGTGTTTAGCCTGTTTCGGTCTTGCAGACTAAATGCTTGGGGAACAGGGAATTAAACATTAACATTTTTGATAACAGTATGAAGAGTGTGTGTAAGCCAGCATTTTCAGTAACAGATGTACCTAATTTGCTCAAAATATGCTAAGTAGGGTAATTCTTTAAGGAGTATTAAACAGCCTGATAAGACCACCCAGTGCAGGTTTCATGAAAGTCTTTTTTATCAACCTGGTAGATAATGAGAACCAGGGTACAGTAGATGCTCACAGTTTTCACCTTTATTGTGTCAAACGGATTGTGTGAAAGCGATTCAGATCGTGCTTCCTCTCCCCCCGCTCAGTTCATTTAAATGTCAGTTCTTGGATGTTTTCTTCAGAGAAGCATCGCGAATGAAATGATCCCGGCACACGTCATTTCATTTTGAAGAGCAGCTTTTCTTTTCACCAGTGTGCCTTCAGTTGCTGTAGCACGTGGAGGGAAACTAATCAGGTACAGATGGACCTTCCTGAGATCAATCCTGTATGAAGCTCAGTCGATTCCCTTCCACATTTTAAACAAATGAAGCGAAAAAGAAATCAAATGAATTTTTGTTCCTATATAGATAGACTAATGCTTAGCATTTTTTTTAACATTGTACTTCATTAGAAGAGTTCATTGAGTGTGCCTAAAGGTGAGAGTCCATGTTTTCCCATAAACTTTTTCATGTTTCCTGTTCTTTCCACAATAATCTGAAAAACGCTGAAAGCAGTGATTTCTGTTTCCTGAATATGGCATAATGTGAATAATATATATTTAATATGAACTGCATAAGAGTTTAATAACAAAGCAGCTAGTCTTTAATGTAATGGATTGGTAATTACCTATTCAGTCATTAAGGAAAGACATTGTGAAGCAGAAGGATATGAAAGAAACTGACAGATTACTGCTCCAGGCCCTGTTGGGGGACCAGTTGGTGATGATATTCGCCCTCTGCCAGAGTTTCCAAACTAGTGCTGGACAGAGGGCACTGCGGAATCGAAGGTGCCGCCCTGTAAATTAAAGACATTAAACCTAGGTCCTCACTACTTGGCCTTTACAAATCCCATAAATGTAAAATTAAAACTAAACGCCACTCGAGGCTGGTACAATCTGGCCTCCTTAACATTCTCCCCTTGATTCGGTTGCTGATACAGTCTCTAACCTCTCTGCCTGATCAGCTGTGTAGTGGGGATTCTGCGACTTCAGTGGTGGATTAAGTTATTGGGCTCCTTCCATATTTAAAATGCTTTGGGATGAAAAGCACTGTATAAATGCAACTAATTAGAACTGATTGGTGCTTAGTCTATTGCTATTTTGTTTGCCATTTGGCCTTTTCACTGTGTTGCCTTTCTCCCAAAACAACAAGGGTTATTTTTTTTGCACAATCCCCGTTGTTCCAGGGTGTTGCCCTCTAGAGAGAGACCTGATCACAGAGCTTTTTTTAAAACCATCATTTCTCCTCTACAATATTCTCCTGTGATGTCACCCTACTACTTTTCAGCCGGGGCATGTTTTTCTTTGGAAAGTTTTATTTCGGTAAAGAAAACAAGGGATAATTATAACCCCTTGACTGAAATTACATGCCACTTCTCTGCAGAGCTCCACGTATGGTCCTCACGGAGCCTGTCAATCACTCCACACCTTCTCCACCGCGGCACAGAAAGACTGTGTGAAAAGCTGGGCTGGTTCAGGAATGCCTGGGGGTGGGGTGGGGATGGGGGCACAGTCAAGGGCTGGGCTGTGCTGTTGCTGCCTTGAACGTAGGACGTCGTAGTGAGAACCAGACCTTATGGAACCCCAACTATCCCCACATCCATTCCCTGACTGTCACGGATGTTGGAAGGGCAACCGTGGAATGGCCAGGAGCGCAATAAAGACCCTATGCGTAGCGGTAAAAGGGGGCAACATTGGGGGTTGGCCCAGGCTCAGGGGGTCATACGATGTCCGTATAGAAACCTATGCCCTCAGGCAAAGGATGTGGGGCGACCTGGTACTGGGCGGGTCTCACGACATTCGTACCCTCTCTGCTGAGCCAGGAGCAGAGCAGACACAGGAAGTTAATAGGCTACACAACAAGACACACCGGAAAGACATGAATTGCACCGCCATGCACTGAGCACCACACCGCCATGCTGCCTCGGAGCCCCAGATATCTGCACTTGAGTTCTGAAAGAAGTGAGGACAATATGAAGACACGAACACTGCTAATGCCGGGAAGCCAATTCCATTAGTGGACTTGAACAGTGTTGTGGATTGGGGCATGTGATACTGTATGATCTTCCTTAATGCCAAGTTTCATCCATGCTTCCCTTGACGCTTTCATTAAATCTTAGGATTTGCACTTTTGCGCTTGACATTCTTATATTATCTGTCCAGCAAATCCTTAACTACAAATGTTCTTTTTCCACGTCTTTGGAATGTTATTTCTTGGTTTGAGGCCACTCTTATGTTAACCTTATTATGGTGTTGATAGCTTTTGGTCGCCAATCGCATATTTTGCAAAATGGATTTTCCCTAATATACCGCTGTGCTACTCCTGTGCAGTTTGATCAATTTTTCCCTTGGCCGCTCCTTACTTGCATGCTGGTAGCGAGAATGATTGCTTGCAACAGGAACTATAGTGCCGTTGAATTTCTGGGAGAAATGCAATGGAAAGCTTTCTCATCTCTTAAAGGAATTGTTACAGTTTCTTGTAATTCAAGTTATGTGATTGTCTGGTTTAGAACTCTGCTCCATGCTATGGCAAATCAGCAATGTGCACACTGTTTTCTTATCATTTAACAGTGTTTCTGCTTATGGGCAGCTGCGGTGTGTTGCACATAATTCATTTGCATTAAATGAATACAGTACAGTTCTGTGATGTCAACCAGTGGCAGTGGGCAGTCTGCTGTGCTCCCTAGGTGAGTATTGAGTCTTTCTGAGCTGCAGTGAGCAGGAGAGCTGCTGTGTGTGGGAGACTGGTCTGGCTAACAGGGTGTTGGTGACATCAGCAAATGACATAACCAAGCCCTTTCTTTAGAAACGCCTACCATTTCTATTAGTGTGCTGGGTTTCCACTAAAAAAAGTGTCCCATGAAACATCAATTCTTGGGAATTTTCCACTGTTTGCTAAAGCAGTAATACCGTGTTTGGATGTAGGTTTTTAAAGGGAGGCAGTTTCACATTGAGCATCTGCATTTAGCGTCACCTTTTCTTTTGTTCCTACTTTACACCTAGAGTGTATGTGCATGTGCACTCATTTTTTTCTCTTTATTTAACACGTTACTGTACTGGTCGTTTTACACCCACTACATTTGTTGCTCTGTGTAACTGTAACGAACAGTTCTTTCCGGACCCTATGCGGACGACACAGTCCGACGGAGTGGGGAAACACTGGGGAAAAGTCATGCAGGAATATGGGGCAGAAGACAGGGGGGCGTGTCCAAGGTGCGCTGGTGCACGGGGGAGGCGTGGCCGAGGCGAACAATCCCAGAGAGTAATCCTTAGAGTATCCAAAACACACGAGTAAGTCCAAAACCAGGAGATCCATCCGAAGAAGGATTAAAAACCACCAAGGCCGGGTCGGAACCGGCGGACGGGGAACAGGAACAGGAACAGAGGATAAAACCTTAACGGGACCAGGCGCTTCCAGGTCCCGGACTCGCACGATATGGAAATCAGATGCAGAGCCCGGATGAGCGTCAGCGCCTGGATTTTTAGGTGGGCTGGGAATAGGACACAGGTGCACAGGATAAAGTCTCACGTGAAAGGGCTGGAGCACCCTTAAGGAGGGGGAACTATAATCGTGACAGTAACGCCCACTCCTGGGATGTGTATGGGGTCAGCAAGTTTGTAGTTAGTTCATTACTTACACTTACAGTATACAGCACTTTTCTGGACACTCCACTCAAAGTACTTTACAGGTAATGGGGACTCCCCTCCACCACCAGTGAGTAGCCCCCACCTGGATGATGTGATGGCAGCCAAAGTGTGCCAGAGAGCTCACCACACATAAGTTACCAGTGGGGAGGAGAACAGAGAAAAATTGATATATTATTAATAGGCTATGATTGGTAAAGGCCAGGGGGAATTTGACCAGGGAGCTGGGGTAACACCCCTACACTTTTTGAGAAATGACCTGTGATTTTTAATGACCACAGAGAGTCAGGATCTCGATTTCATTCTTCATCCTAAATACAGAACCTTTTTTTAAATAAACTGTCCCTATGACTGGGACATTAGGACACACACACAAACCGCAGGGTGAGCACCCCCTACTGGTCCCACTAACACCTCTTCCAGCACCAACCTTCACTTTCACAATAGGTCTCCCACCCCAGCACTGGCCAGGCTCACACCTGCTGAGATTCAGTGGCATGCCAATTGTGAGTTACAGGGTGAAATAGCTGCTCACCATATCATTCCATTTAATTACTCATGGATTCATGTTTTGACACACTGCAAGGCTCACAGTACCTGACAGGAGAGTTTGCATGGATTGGAGGAGCTGAATTTCCCTCTGATGTAATTGCAAGCCTGTAGGTATCCAGGATGTCATAGGAGTCACTTGTTTCAGGATTCTGGGGATCCCTATCCCACCATTTCTAACTCTGTTCCCAGTGGCAGTCTTCCACTAGGGAAATCCAAATGACAATCAACTTGAGAGAACTTTCTTTTTGATAGTACAGTTCTTTTTCGACTGGACCACCTAACCGTACCACTTTAAAATAATGGAAAAAAACAAAATGAAAAAATTAAAGGAATTCTGACTGAATAGGATGAGAATAACACAAATATTTCAGGCACTTCCTCAGGTTTCTGGAGATATCCTAGTATACAGATGCCAGTAATGAACAGAACCAAATTCATAATGAATACACAATGAATGGTGGTACTTTTTTACTTTAAGTTATTTTGCATCTTTGCATAAGACGTAAAAAGACAGATGGTCACCATGTTTGCAGTTCTCAACCTAGGAAACAGAATACCAGGCCTTAATAATAAAAGCCTGTCATTGATTGTTAATAAAAACGGCCTTATATAATAAGTTTATAGACCATATCACTAGCACATCTATCGTGTCCTTGTGAAAGCCTTGAGTTGCATGCTTTTGCAAGGAACTGCTTCTCAATACTCTACGTTCTGAGCACCACAACGATAGTCTGTGCTGTGATGGTTCCCAGATGTGGAATCTGGGACGCTGAGAATTGGAAACGTGCTTATCTCAGGTTGACTGGTTAACCCCAATAGTTAAATATTATTAAGTTAAATATACAGGCTTGCATTCATGGTAATAATCGGGTGTGATTATCCCAGGCATGGCATTAGAAAAAAAAAGTTAAAAAGTCCTATACTGTCACACAGTTTCCAAATGTAAATGGCACTTGCACAGTAAAGTAATTGCGACAGTGCGCTGGCGACGAACCTCTCTCTCGTTAGAGCTCCCCGTTACCCTCTTGAGCGCTTTTTTACCTTGGACAGCACAAGCCTTCTAAGCTCAGGAAATATTGACCTTCGTTATGAAAGCAGCAGGCATATAACGCCGAAAGTGAGAAAGTTTCACACCAAAACATTTGAGAAATTAGATAGCAAAGTAGAACGGGGGACGGTAATATTTCTCACTATGCGCTGCACATTCTGTGGTATGCTGTTCGTGCCACCGGTATTTCCCTTTAACAAAATCTGGGAAATTAGGACCGTTTCATTACTTGGATCGGAATGGCTGCAGAAAGCGATCCAGGTGTAGGGTGACCCTATTGTGGTTTTCAATAAAGAGGTACGGTGGGGGGGATAATCGACACTCGACACAAGCCTCCAAAGTAATGAATCTTTATTACTTTTTCTAATAAAAAATCATTTTAAATTCTCTAGTTTTTATTAGACTTCTTTAGTAAACTTTTAAACAGTCGCAGGGTTGCTATTTCTCTTCCATAACGGCAAAACAAGGAAAAAACAAAAAATATAGCCCTATTTAAAAAAAATAGGGCTATATTTTTTTTTCATTTTAGAAGAACAAAAGTCTTGACATGAGGAAAAAATGAAGACATTATAACTTAGGAGAATTTCCTCATTGGTTGCGTTGCAAAAATGATCAATTTTAACGAAACATTTCGAAATATTTTGAAACAAGACATTGTTATTTCTCATGGCCATAAAAACAGCACCACACACACACAAAAACCCTTTTCAAGCTACGCTGCGTGCAAGTTCAAACCATCTACCGGTAACGCATGTAGAACGAGAAATATGTAGGCTGTTTGTTTACACCGTCTGAGTAACAAGCAAAACAAATTCCCGGACAACTTTTGGAAATGTATAAATCCCGGTCGGACAGATATTTTAGATCTCAAAAAGAGGACATATCCGGGAAAAAGAGTACGTCTGGTCACCCTAATATAATGGTGAAGATGAACAGAGATTCGGATGGAGGTGAGACTCTCCCGCATGAAAGCACAGTGGCTGAACGCCACACTGCCGCGCGTCCTCTCGAGTCCCGCTTGCTCCACAGACGGCACAGATGATGAAACCCACCTCATTCGTTAGTGCTGCGTTTGTGCCGTTGAAAGTAGCGTTTGTGCTGCTTTCGTTCCCGAGATATAGCGCCTCCAGTGTTCAAGCGCTCTTTAATAGTTTAGCTCGTACCCTTAACATTGTAAAGACAATCAATATCCATAAACATATGAGCCTCCTTAGATGTGAATAATACTAAGACATGACGCATTAACCATCTATGGCATAAACCTGTGGTTGTAATGTATGTAAAATCACCGTGATTCTAAGATCTGTGGTTTTTATTTTCTTAGGTACGTTTTCCTTTTCTTTCCCTACCGTGACACGCTGTTACCAAACGTGTAACTCTGCGATACCATCGCGACAAGACCTCCGCAGCATGTCATGATAGGGACCCCATGTATAAGGCGTGTATATCGCGGCAGTGTATATCACGACTGGCGCCTTGCTTCCATGCCATCCTGGCACCGCTATCGCAACAAAGGTCTCATATCAGGACATGATATACCCAGATAGGACGTGTTGCAATATATGGACTTTATGTCGCGACATGGGGTGAGCATATCCTGTCAGGGTATGTCCTATCGCAACATATGGACTCCATGTCGCGACATGGGGGCGGGGGCATTTTGTAAGGGTATGTCATATCGTGATATACGGGCTTCATGTCGCGACATGGGCGGGGCAGTTTTCCCATATCGCGATATAGAGCCTTTCATGTCGCGACATGGGCGGGGCAGTTTTTTGTCATATCGCGATATACGGACTTCATGTCGCGACATGGGCGGGGCAGTTTTGTCATATCGCGATATACGGACTTCATGTCGCGACATGGGAGGGGGCAGTTTTGTCATATCGCGACATAGAGCCTTTCATGTCGCGACATGGGGCGGATCACTTTTTTCCGGGTTATGTCATATCGCGATATGCGGGCTCCATGTCGGGACATGGGGGCGGGGGCGTTTTGCCGGGGTATGTCACATCGCGATATATGTCGCGAGAGTGGCGCAACAACAGCGATGTGATCGTGATGCGTGCACTCCTATCGTGACATGCTATCGGAGTCGTGATGCCATGCGCTGTGGATGCCATGACATTCTTTGTCTGCTATTCAGTTTTGACCTCAGTGCGGCTCCTCTTAGATTGATCAGTAATTGAAAAAACAATGGATGTGTTATTGTATATCCAGCGTGCTCATACAGCACACATGGTTAACCGGGGCTACAGTATTTGGTCCAGGAAGAACATCCATCACCTGTGTATCTACATGTTCTCGGAACTTCCGCTGTGGCGCTTTACCCAATCAGAGTGTCGATTCTCACTCTTCACCCAATCGCGGCCCGAGCTGCTCGGGGGTTTAGCCAATCACGGGTCTGAGAGCTGTTCAAGCCGGCAGCGCCAGGTGGATCGGCTTGGTTACTGTCAATGAGAAGCGGTTTTAAAAATGTTTTACTTATTTGCAAAATAACTACATCGGCTTGTTTTTTTAACGTCTTTATGAATTCACAATGTCCCGTACTCTTTGAAATAAATACATTTTTTATTTGCTATATAACTGTCTCCGCTGCTTTCTGTAATGAATACATGGTATTTTAACTATTTTAATCGTATATTTAAGGTAGGGGAAACACCTTCTGCTTTGTACTTCAAAAATAAATAGAAATGTAAAGTCTATGATCAGTTTATTATTATGCTCATGCTTTCAATTTTGTTTTTATTGTTAAATTATACAGATCTTGAAACTTATACCAAAAAATGTGAATATGGGCTCTCGTGTTGTACCGGCGGTAATTTGGAAACTGGCGTCTGTTCACCAATGTAAGGAGTACACAAGCAATACATTTTCAAGAATATGGTTAAAAATTAAAATAAAACATCTAGCCCAATGAACTTAAATAGTAACTCCTCCCTAAATATAAGACTGTTTATTCGTGTAAATGCATAGCCTGGGGTCAAGTGATCAAAAGATGTACGTCACAGAGTTCACAAAGAAGGTGCTATATTGAAATGGCACAAACCGACACAAACATAGCACTAACGAGTGAGGTGGGTTACAGTTTGTGCTGTCTTTAGAGAGGCGGGCAACTTCACGGAGCTTAGCAAGCATCCTCCCTGGCTCACACCTCCAAAATGGGGAAGGGGGGATGTGATGGCGCTGATCTTTGCCCACCGCAGTCGTGTCCTCAGCCCGGCCAAGTTAAAGGCAAAGTTACCAAGCACGGTATCTCTTTATTCCTCAACTCGTTTGGCCATTACGAGAATTTGACCGCACAACTGTTTTTGCCAAAAATGCCGGACTGAGAAAAAGTTAAGTGTTATACTTGTTCATGAGCTACGGATAGTTACAGTACACTGCTTGTGAAATAACATTATGTTGTAGCGCCCTCACCAGGCGGTGATGGGATAGATTTGAACCTGTTTGGGATTGTGGGGAGATTAACTCCTGGGATTTGGGGGGAAGGAGAGGGGTTTATGTACAGTACATGTTGTGCGTGTCTGACTAGTCCATGTTTCCCGATCCTGTTTTGTGATCTCGGATTCCCACCCTGAGCTCTCTAGCCTGTATTAGGCAGTACCTTGCGCCTTCAGTAGCGGTTGCAGTGGTTTTATTTTTGATGGTTGTTGAGATCAGTTCTTTCAAGGTTTTATGTCTTTGTGATCAATCAAAGAGCGTTTCTGGTACTACTGTTTTGCGTGATTGTTGCGCACGTTACAATATTAAGTATTCAGGGCTCTCCTGTATTTCAAGGAGGAGTGGACAAGCCGTTGTGTGCCGTTTCAGACGGCTTTTGCTTTGACACCAACAAAATATCTGCCGTTTTGTGGCTGAGAGTGCTGACCTGCTATAGAAAGGACAGAAAATCATCTGTTTTGTCTTAACGTCTTAATGCAGTGCAATGTGAGTCTGACTTAAAGGAACCGTTTGAACTAACCTAAGCATGCTTGGTCTCTTGACATCCTCTTAACATCTGAACATTAAGTTAACTGCAATGTGCCTGATGTCTCAAACTGCTGTCTAAAAACATTTGGGAAACCTCACATTGAGGCAAAGCAGAATTCTAACCTGTCTTGTCGTTTGTGTTCCCATGACCAGGAAGGTGTTGGGTGGACAGACTTGGTGTGGATCCTCCCACATGCCAGCAGAAGGACATGATTCAAACTGTCCCGGACCCTGCTGTCCCTGTCAAAGTGAGCACGCTGTTCTCTTTTTTTAATGGGTGCTGAGATAACATTAATGTATTTACACATATTTAAACTGAAGTGCAGTATACGGTATATCCTAAGGACAATGGAGACGTTTTTTTTTTTGGATGCTCAATGATTTAAACTTCAGTGTATATCCAGAAGCTGGTTTTCAGTGGTCAGCATCATGGTCACTCTTCCAGCCTGGTAGCAGTCATGCTGGTTAATATTGACAAATCAGCTAATTGTTTTTCCTTTTCGCTTTAGCAGTAGTAAAATCTCTATAAACAGTCACAAGTCACCAAAAAGTGCAGTGTTAGATCTATGTGGAAGTTCTGACTATTCCAAATGACGCTTTTGTCAATTCCTCTGCCAAGCAAGTGATGTCTATGATGGAGCTGCAAGCTGGATTGAAGTTCCTTTCAATTCTAAATGGAAACCCTGTCACACTAAAGTCCAGCTTCTCCAGGTCTCTAAAGGAACATGCTGTATCAGTGTCACCCAACGTAAAAAATAAAGGACCATTCCGGGAGAGACTGTGCGCCGTGCTTTGCTGAAGCAGCGCTGTATTTATGAAAGCTGTCTGTAACGTCTTGGTAGCGCAGGCCAACATAAACACCCCCCACCACCCCCCCGAGAGCAGACTTTTTTCCTTTCTTAAAGTCAAAAGGAAATGACACACTAGCGAGTGAGATCAGAAATGGAGTGCAAAGGAATAGCTATGCAAGATTTATAACACGGGGCACTTTGCCGTTCAAAGTATTGCCTTTAGGGGGTAGCAGGCCTGTTTTTCTCATTCCCGTTTTGTGGCCATAGTTTGGGGAGAATTCACTTTTCTTATTGTTATGTCTGCATCTGCAAAATTTATGATGCTTCAGCCAGGGGTGTTAATTTTACTACGAGCGGTAGCTGACAGCTCAGCACATTTTTATCACAGTTATTTTCATTATTTTTCCCCCTTTTTTGGTAGAAATGAGCAAAGCCAAAGTTGTAAGTCTGATATCCCAATAATAACTCTTCTTCACTTGTCACCAGGGTGGTTTTCACAGTAGTGCTGCCACATTAAGGGAAAATGTTAGTTGTTGATTTAGCCAGGTGTATTTCATAAATACACCTTGGTAATTGTCCTTAATTGTAAGAGCCCCTTTACAGCACTTGTCCAATTGCAGCTGCATGTTTAATTGGAGTCTGTACTGTATATAGTGTGTTCTGTGTGTCTTGGTTTTGGTCTTCACATCATTAAAGGAGAAGTAAATTCATGAGACATCTTTTGGTTTGTTTGGAAGTTTTTATTTTTCATTTTGTTTCTTCACTAACCAGACTGGGAGCACTCATACAGTATGTGGTGGATGGCTTTTATAAAAGAGCAATCTTTCTTATACTATTGCACGTGTGGGTAGCCTTTAAGGTGTGTTAAAGTAGGAAGCTCTGGCCCTCTTGCACCATTGGAGGTACCTTTCAGTTGGAAAACACAGACGATTTGTCTTCTAATTCACTTAATTAGTTTAATCATGTCATTAAGATCCGATATGGAATGAAATCCAGGAACGAGTGCACCACTTAAGGGCAAAGCTGCCTAACCCTGGAATTGCACTTTTAAAAAAGAAACAAGTAGCTTTAAAATGATTAAACTAAAATTTGTGGTAAATATCGGGTTGCATATAATCAAAACAGCAATCGTGCCTGATTTCCTTGGCCAAAACAGAGAAGCATTGCAACAATGCTTGTTCATGGTGTCATCATGATTAATGTTACCAGAAGCTGTTTGGTAAGCACTGGAATTTGTAAAGAATAGCTCATGACCAGAGGAAATAGTTCTCCATAAACACTCAAAGCTGTGTTTTGCTGCTATATTTAAGCAGGTCAAATATGTCAGTTAAGCTCCCAGGCCAGTTTTGTAATGTAATTTTTCTTTTAAGGAGCTTGAACGTGGGACTTCAAATCCTTCTGGATGTTTTCATTGTTTCTTGTTGTCAGGTTGAATAAATGTTGTAGTTATGACGTCAGGAAGATGAAAGGCGTAGATTTATATCTCCCTTGCTCTGCCTTTTCATTACAAAATTCACATAATTGCTTGGAATCCCTTTTAAGACAAACCATCCTAAATCTTAAATCTGTCCTGTACTCCTGGTCATAACTGCTATGTATTGAGGATATACTGTTGTATGGAAAACTTTGTAATTAATAAAACATGGATTGCGTAGACATGTAATGGCCTACATTATAAATGCGGGATTGAACTAAAGAAACATTGCATTATAACTTCAGGCATTTTTGTACTTTTTCTGCTCAGTTTGAATTTTCAATTATTTATTTTATACCCCATCGAATATTGGAATTGAAAA